TGATCACGTTGCAGTATGAAATAAATAAAGTTATTTTATTAATCACACCCAAAAGGCTCCAGAGTCCCGGCTTTCCAGAACAACAGATCATTTTCACACTCTACATCATTAATCCAACCAACAACGGGCTAATGGGGGCTGGCTCATTTAGCTAACAGAGCTAAATGAACTCATTGGTTTCGATGCTCTTGAAGCCAGAAAAGCTTCATAACCGCTACAAGTCACAATCCCAGTAATGCTAGCCATATGTCAGCTTTCATTCAGCGTCTATTTGATACATATGTTATCCCTAAATGGAGAGTCCATTTGGCAGAATGTTGTGGCAATTCATCTAGTGAATATTTCAAATTTGAAAATAAAAGTCATGGATAATTGCGGTTTCTGCTCAGAAGCACATGGCGCGCAGCGTGAATATGTGAACGTCATCGAGATGGCTCCATTTCTCTTCTGCACCAGTTTACTCGTTGTTGTGTGTGTCATTGACATTGAAACGTGGGAGGAGAAAACCACCTTTCTTCCTGGAGCCTGTTTGATGAAATTAAAGGAAATGAGAGCGAAGGAGCGCAGCAGCACCTACAGATTTAACACATCACCTGCTGTATTTTATCCCAGCAGAATGTTTGTTTCTGATTCCCCTTTTGGGATTATTGCAACTCCAACATAGAAAAAAATGTGACAATATTGTTTATTTTATGTCTTCGCCCAGTTTTTGTGACGCCCCTTATTTTCTGACGTTTGCGCATCTTCAACTCATACTATGTAACCATGGCACTTGGACATCCCGTCTCATGACCTTTCCTGCTGTCTAATAAAGTTTCCAACGTACTACAAGTTGAAAAATATATACTGCACTATACCAGAGTATGTCTTGCTGCTTATCCTCACACAACCCTGGACTGAANTCCCTTATTTTCTGACCGGGATGTTTGCGCATCTTCAACTCATACTATGTAACCATGGCGCTTGGACATCCCGTCTCATGACCTTTCCTGCTGTCTAATGAAGTTTCCAACGTACTACAAGTTGAAAAATATATACTGCACTATACCAGAGTATGTCTTGCTGCTTATCCTCACACAACCCTGGACTGAAGTCGGAGAAAAAAATCAACATGAGACATTAGATTGTCTTTACAGTTTTATTGTAATTACAAATTCCAGCTCTTACCACTGATTCCTTGCTGATTTTCAGCTTATTTTATCCAGGCAGATCATTGTTTTATTAATGGAATTGTGAATTGTGAATTTTTGTGCATTACTGTTTAATGTGTTATCTTGTCATCTCTGTCTTTTTTAATTCCCGTCCACATAAACAGTAAACGTGTCTCTAAGAGACTAGAGTCACTTCTGATCAGTGTAGGTGTGTCAGTCTTCACTCTGCCTTCACCCTGGTCACTAGAAGTTCTTTCGCTCTTTGGTGCTTTTCCATTTAAAGTGAACAGCTTGTCATGGCGAGTGCCAGTCAGCGTGTGAAAAGTTGTATAATGTTTTCTTGGGCTGTGGAGGAGCTTTGTCTTCCCCAGAGCCCGTGTAACAAACTTTGGGTACAGAGCTGGAAAGATGTTAATATTCATCAGGCCGCAGGGTCTAAAGGGCGAGTCATGGTTTCCATAATCCTCGTGGCCACAAGGGTCAGTCTGACGTCAATTGCATCAGCTGCCCAAGTCGGTGAGGGTCCACATGGACACCTGTGCAGATGTCAACGTGCAGCCCTAAATTTGAGACCGCACACACTTTCTCACTGTATGTGTGCACCGTATTCCACAACCTTGGTTCCATTCTCCTGTTCTTTTGCCTTTTCCGTGTCGTTCAGCTAAATACAATAAACAAAGGAGCTCTTCTTCTTGCTGTCAGGAGGTTGCCACCATCTTTTATACTGCACATTGTAGCGGTTTTCTGGAGAAGGTGGGGTGCCAAGCAGAGTCTTAGTCTGACAAATTATTTAGGTAAAACTAGCCAAACCCTACAGAGGATATGATCACTTCTACCCCCCCCCCCACACACACACACTACCCAGGTGTACACCGGCCAAACACCAAAATAATAGTCACGCAACAGTTATCACGCAACAGTTAACAGCCAAATCCAGTGTATTGACCATGAATGGTGCAACAACATATAATATGATAATATACGTATAGCGTGGCTGCTAATTCCTTGGAGTTGTATAGACGCACATGCGTGTCCACTGATCATCATGGTGTATGGTTAAGGCGTTGAATTGCATCATGGGAAGTATGGGATATAGTGATTTTCGACTCAGGATATCATTTTTTTTTTTTTTTTTATGTCTCTTTCTTTTATCTCTCTTGCAAATCTCCAAACTTTGTAGAAGTGAAATACTTTGCCGCTGACGTATCGCTGCTTTAAGAGGTCATGTGTAAATAATAAGATGATGATGTAACGGCAGTGAATCTGTTTTAGCAGTTTGACTGCTCAAGATGGAATAAAATTATGGCCCGAGTTAAACACTGAATTATGTGAACAAATGTGTTTAACTGCTTTCCACCCAGAGAGTGGCTGAACGGAGGACTGCTCTGCTCTGAGTCTGTGGTGCTGTGTGGATGGTCACATTATAATAAAATGGCTTTAACGCGTTGAAGCACTCGCTTGAAGGACAGAAGCTGCTGCCTTCACTAGAACCGTTTGGGAAATTAATTCAGTTAATGTTATGGAATAAATGTGTGAAAGGCCCTTAGGTGTCTTCACCTTAATTAACCCAGCCAGTCTTTTACTCCGCATCATGTGACCAGCGCGCGACCAAATGAAGGCAGGACTCGCACTTGTCCTGATGATCTGTCTCCACCCAGGCAATCTGCTGGCACCATGGAAGATGCCACAGCGCATTAGCAGCAGTGTGACGGCATGTGGCGGCTCAGTGTGTGAAAGCCCTCCTCACCAAGCCCCCACAGGGCCACTGATACCCAGAGTTGCTAACAGCTTTTGACTTGCAATTAGCCAGCCAAGTTTATCAGCAGCAATAGCCGCGGGAGCTGAAGCAGTGCCGCGACCAGGGTACGCTTTCAGTTCAGTGTGTGCGCACTATGTGTGTGTGTGTGTGTGTGTGTCTTTTGGGTAGACTGAACCACATGTCAGACAGATGTTCTCGTCTCTACATACAACAAGCGGCGCTGTGATTAATCAAGGTGGCTGGGGGTCACTGTGTCGAGTTACTCCTTTTTCTCTCTTTTGTAACTCAGTTCACACAGATAAGACGACGCGGCAGACGGAACAATAACACACGAAGGCTGGAAACTCGATGGCCCATAAGGTCAAACCCTGCAAAATTGCATTAACCGAACCAGAGGGAAAGACTGTCATCTTAAGAAGTCCTTCCACCACCCACCCACTCTCCCCCACTCTGGCCTGTCTGCATGGAGGGGGGGAATTATATTACCGACCTCCTCCCAGTTATGATGAATCCTCAGCCCTGAGAAGACTGGCCAGCCCGACCTCCATTTGCGGGAGATTAGATCCTCTGATTACAATGCCAGCTACCTCCCACCACTAGATAAATCTTCGATGGGAGCCCAAAAGCAAAGCCCTCCAGATCCATTGCAGTTAATAATTTAGCGTTAGAGGGGGACAAGTATTCATGATAATTAAAATTGAGCTGGAGATTTTTGACTAGATGGGAAAGCTAAAGAATGACTTTAAGTTAAAAATGGCATTTGCTAAGACTTAAATTTAGAAATTTCCATGTACTGAATTCTTACTCTGTGTCAGCACTGTGTCACGAATGATATCACATCACACCGACATCACATTAAAGGTGAAATGTTTGAATGTGTTTATTAATGTGCGATGTAGGTGTTATGAACTGACGCTCGTGTGCAAATGTCACAAAGCTGACAGCCTTCACATGGTATGAATTGTGTGTTTGCCTAAAAGCTTTTGTTGGCATATTACGTGTCCATATAATTGTTCATAGATCATTATGCAGAGAATCGGCAAGCGAGGTGGTGAGGTTAGGACGTGGTTTGAATGGCTAATTTGCACTGTACGCGCTTAACAAACACTGGGTTACTTAGAAGCTCTAATTTGGCTGCATAAAAGATGCAAATTAGATTAGAGAATAGCCCACAGCCAGTAAGCGTTGTTTACAGCAGTGGTTCTCCGCACTGTGCCTTCAAGGCCAGAGAGTCTGCAGGTTTTCATTCGGACCAAACAGAGCAGCAGCTGATTTTCACTGATTCGTTCCACGTCTCCGGTTAAGGCCTGTAAAATCAGCTGCTGCTCTGTTTGGATGGAATTAAAACCTTCAGACTCTGGAGCCTCGGTGGCACACGGCTGAGAGGCGCTGCTCTACAGCGTGCTAAACATCAACACACAGCCTCTTTTTAAAGAGCCGTTTCACCCAAATCACAAATAAAACACACAGCATCTTCTCATTTAAGTATTTTGGTTGTGAGATGTATGTGTCTGAGGTGCAGGTGAATTTGTGGTTGAATTTGTTCGTGGTGAAAGATTACATTTAAAACACTGAGAAATGATCTTTCCTCTCACTGTGGACAATCACCAGACCGCACTGAGAAGAGTTTTCATTGGGACTGTTTCAGTAGATAGAGGTGGAAAGAAGTTACTGTTTTTCATTTCATGCACCATTATTTTATTAGATTGAGGGTGGAAACTGTATAGAGAGAGATTTTTTTTAAAAACTGGCAAGTACAATAAAACCAAAATCTGCAAAAGTAGATCATAAAGGTTTTTCTTTCTTTTTGTATTAGATTAGGGTGAGCCGGTCCTTAAAGTCAAAGTGGAAGTATCGGCAGAGATGGTTTATGTGCCGCGAACTTTCACATCACCCTAAAAGATCTTACTCCCCGCTGTATATTTGCTTTGCTGAAAGTATCAACCTTGAAATGCTGCGTGATGAATCGTGGCGCTGACAGCTGCAGCCGTACCGTGCTGTATATCATCACACATCACTTAGATCCTCCGCCACTGACATGACCATTACCATATAGATGGTCTCTGACTTCTGACCCTGATCTGTCCTAGGTGTCTTTGAATTGCGACTACGTGTTCGTCAACGGGAAGGAGACGCGGGGCTCCATGAACGCCAGGGTTATCTTCAGCTACGAGCACCTGAGCGCGCCGCTGGAGCTGACGGTCTGGGTGCCCAAACTTCCCCTGCAGGTGGAACTTTCTGACAACAATCTCAGCTTCATCAAAGGCTGGAGGGTTCCCATCCTGCCCGACCGAAGGTGAGGCCTCAGGCAATTTGATACAGTTACCATTGATTTAATGTCATGTGGAAATTACAGTTTCATGCAATTTGGGTCTTATTTTTCATAGCTTCAGCCGTGTGGAATAATAACACTGTACTCACCACTAAAGACGTCAGAAAGGGCGAGAAACACGAGCGGTCAGATGATCAGAGAGGTTGTAAACAAACCCCAGACAAGACAGATTTACTTCAAAGAACCGTAAAAGATTACCTGTTCCTCACAGCAGAGAAACCAACTTCCTGCTTCAGCTTTGACCCTTACATTCTAATTATTGTGCACATAGTAGTGACGCACGGATCGGCTCTGATGTCTTTGCATGTATGCGTAAATCATCCTCCCACCACCCGAACAAATTAATTTCCACGATTTAGAGACCCACAACCGATCACATATTACCATTATTTCTCAGTGGGATGTTACATGTGATGACAGAGTACCGTGTTACACTGAAGTGGGCAGGTTTTAAATAAATAAACATTTTTTTAAAGTAAAAGTTCTTCTGTTTTGGTAAAATGAAAATGGCAACAGGTATTTCCACAATAGCCTGAGCAACATTTTTCACACACATTTTAGAGAATGTAATTCATATTTTCCTCATACATTATTTACTATTTTACTCACTCGCAGCCCATCTGCTGCAACACCGATGAGATGATACTGTGACCCAACGTCATGGAGAAGAACTGTATATTACATATGAGGGAGAACGTCTTCACTCTACTTTGTTTCCTCATCTTTGTCCTTTGCTAAAAAGGAAGAAAGTCGGAATCCGCCCGCTGCAGTGGAATATATTTTGGATGTCTTATTTGTAGATAATTACCAGAGGAATCATTATAACAAAGTGCGAAAGTGCCTGGAACATCACAGTCTCAAACATTAGAAAGTAAAAAGCGGTCCAGCCTCCTCTCTGTTTTCCAGGATTTTATGTGTAGTTGCTTGTTTTGCTCCAATTAGATTCTCTGGCTGAAGCGCAGAGCAGAAATGTACCTCTGAGGCTACTTGAGCCTCTCAAGTGCAAATTGATCTACGAGGTTGTCATGTATGTGTCATACCCATCGGAACGCATTTTTTACAACAAGTTTTGGAAGATGGCGTAATTTGACTTTGAGTAAGTTCACAGAAGTCTTCTCAGAGTGAATATTGGCTGCACTTTCAGACAGGTAATGATGTTTTTGGACTAATAAGCAGGTAATTTGGGATGTTACTCTGGATTCAAACTGATGGTCAGAGTTAAACTGCTGTTGCAGCTGTACTTCCAGGAGGCTGCTGATCTGTTGATGCTGTAACGGTGGTCATGTTTTCCATTTAACTGTCTTAAGTGTTTTTCTGCTTCATGTGCAGTACAGCCATCTATTTTCATAATATCTGTGACCTTTTATACTGCGATTATTCTTGTACAATGTTTATATTCTTGCCATTTTAAGGAATCAAGGGCAATTGTGTGGTTGTCGTGTCAATATTATAGAAGGTTTTTGTCGATAGAAGGAATCCAGTAGACAATAAAAATAAGAAAAACGAATGAAGTGTTGGCTACAGGCCTTAAAAATATAACACCCTCAGATGTGGGAAAAATGGCACCAGTGGGAGATTAAGGTTGTTTGCACCAGGACCCCGATGAAAAATGCGGTCTTAGGTTAAGGAACCTATGCTCATTAAAATATCCCTGCATTCTTGTCATGCATGGAGCAGTAACAAACAGGCCCACAACCCTTCATTTAGGAAATGTTTAATGGGAGCATTAACACTCACGCGGGTGGCTGCTGTCGTCGCTGCTGGAGTACATCACCATACACCAAATCCATTTCTACCCAACCTGAATACAAATGGTGTGTTTAAGGAGTTGTTTGAAGAATGAAGGTATTTCCAATGACCTAGAGTGCTCGAAAAAACATCTCGCACAGCCTCATTTTTCAAAGATCCCCGATGAGCCATAATGAGCTGTAGATGGTATATTATTTTGACATGAAAATGTGTCTTAAATCCCCACTTTAGTGCCTCTCATTTGTTTTTGTTTAGTTTTTTTTTGTAAAAGGCCTAGCCAATCAAAGCACAACCCTGCAGATGAGGAATCATATATGTGTTTTTCAGACCTCGTTATTTTGAGTGGTGTTTGCAGTTTGTCCGGTGTTTCCAGGCCTCAGGGTTTGCCGGCGGTCTCATAAGGTATAATTCTCGGATAACAATGTTATATCGTTGTTCCCTGTTGCCTGAATATCAACAGTTGGACTAGTTGCTTCAAACAAATTGGTGTAGTTTTTCTTTTTTCTTTTTTTTTTCTGCACTGTGTATCTCAATTCTTCCAACCTATTTTCTATGCGTCCTTTGTGCCTTCGTGAAAACAGTAATCAAAGACCGCTCGTGGGCCATTTTTGGGCCGCTCTGATTTCCACACAGCCAGGCCAGAGGAATACATTTCTCTGAAGGTGAATCTTTTCTTTCCTGCAGACAGTCATTTGGATTTACAGAGAGCGTGTAATTTTCATTACTTTTCCCTGTAGTTGTTTGTGGAAGCAGGAAACTGCGGACAAAGATGGCTCTCATCATACTCGATGGTGCCACATGCAGGTTATTGAGGCTGCTGATCCTGACCACTAGGAACTGTGAGTCTTTGTGTTTTCAGTGTGCTGCAGGACTTGGTGCTATTTAAACATGAAATATGCTGTGTTTTTACAACAAAAAGTAATTACCACTTTAATTTCAGGCCTAAGCTTAATTACCAAATAACTCAATAACGTGGGCTGTAGTCATTAGTAGCATGCAGCTTGCACTGTTACCCTCTGTTTGAAAGGATGTTTTATATCTCAGGAAAATCAAACAAATACAGGCCAAGCAGTGCAAACTAAAGCAGTTCCTGCTCATGTATTAATGCACATCTTAATTGATTCATTCATCATTTGTTTTGTTTTGAAAATAGCCTACATCTCATCTCATGGGTACCTTTATTGGTTGTCAAAGTGTCAGTGCTGATAGTCCATGTTGGTCACATTTATCACTTAATAGATTCACATGCAGGCACGTGTTGTTTTCAGATACATTAAATGTAAGACATCACACATGAAAACATCAGCTTCTCTTGTTGACAAAACCCTCCTAACGCAAGGTCCTGTTTGCTCGGTTGCCATAGAAATGTAGACGTTGCCATGAACCTGATCACCTGTAGGACCTCTCGTCCATGTTGGCTTAAAAGTTGAGCGTGACAGTTTGTTTCTTGACCTTGAAATCTCACACATGGGAATATTTTGGAGATTTCATTCGGCTTTTATCAGGAACAAACATTTCACATGTAATGTTATCTTACTCATGGTCATAAATAGTGTTAGCTGGTGTTCACATTTGGAGATGGCATGAAAATTGATCACATTTTGGCTTCTTTAAGACTCAAACCCAAAGTTTAGGAATTTAGGATTTAAATTAAACTACTTTGTGACTTGCAAAATAGCGACCTGGACATGTGCCATTTACAAAACGTGACCATTGCCAACAGCTGCCTGCGAGACTGTGGCAAACTCTATTGTGCCAAGACGCTGCGGAGGGAGAGATTAGACAGACAGCGACAGGATTTATGAGAAATCATCTTAAAGCATCACTGGCTTGAGACAGCAGGTTGTATTTGTCTCAACCTTGGTCTTGTTTGTTTACATTATCGTATCGTATGTCATTATAAAGTGCTGCGATAATGAATTAAATGTTGTTTTCAAAGGCCTCACAAAGCACTGTAAATAACACCTTAAACTAGGACGGAGAATAACAACTCAGTGCAGCTGATTAGTCGTCTGGAAGGCACTCCAGTAACGCCAAATCATGATGATTATCTGCATCAGAATCTGCTAAAGCTGCTTTATTTTGTGATTATTAGACTGAATTGTTGTCTTTTCACTAACCCTTCTCAATCCTCCTCATCACTCACTCTCTGCTGCTTATTTTCCTCCTCTCACAAGCGCACTGATTCTCCTTTACACGACCTCTAACCTCCCACACTCTTTCCCTCGCCTCCTTAACTCTTTTATTTTCTTTCCTATCGCAGTCTCTCCATCCTACATTCCCTCACTTCTGCGAAGTGACACATTCTGAACCTTCATGCGCAGCAAGGTCTCTTGGCCTGCAGTGGGCCTTTGCTACAGTGCAGCAGAATTGCTCACTGGCTGCATTATCCAGTAACATGCTCTAAAAAAGGAAAGAAAGTGTAATCGGGCGGGCAGCTCGTGTGCACTGAAGCTTCAGCTTGTACGGTTGTATCAGAGACTCTAATAAGAACAGACAATATTCTTCTGGGGGAGAAAATATATCAACCTTATTTTCAGGTACAGACTTGGGAAGGTAAACTTTTACTGACCTGAGCCAGGAGTTGCCAAACTCCTTGACAGAGACAGAGGGAGTCTTACTGTCTCACTGGGTTTTTCTCTACCTTAACTGAATGAGTAACTGAGTGTGCAGTCTCAGCGTCTGCTGTGGAGTTAACTCGCTTACCTTCTAAGTACCACATCCGCTACGTGTCCTGAAGCTGCACTGTCAGTCTCCAACACACAGAAGAAGTCAAGATGACGTCCAGTGCCGGAGATCCAATGAGAACTGGAAGAAAAGTGTCTCATTGCTGACGTCACCTTTAGGTTCCAGTTTCCCAATTCCCAATGGAAAAACATCAGGCAGTTGCTTTTGAATAGGAGTCCTTATTTGGGGTTATTTAAAGGATACTCCAGACACACAAGAGACAGATTCAAAAAGAAAAAAGTTAGTGCAACAAAGGCCAACATATCATGACTTTTCCCTAATATCCCTAATAAAGCTGGATCCAGTATTTTTCAGCAAGAAGCATCTTTCTTATTAAACCAGCCCCCACCTGCTAAACAGCCACGCCTTTCCACCTCCACACCTCTAGCGTGCATCCACAATCCATTTTAAAATTTTAGTGCTGACTTTTACATGGCGAGGCTCCATGGTATATTATTAAACTTCTACACCTCCACTCCACCAGCAGGACTCTTAGATCCTCTACCCAGGGTTGCACCTCGGATTCGTCTTCAGACCCGCGGGTCCGCGGGTCTTCCAGTCGGCGGCTCTTCAGCTTTGGAATAGCCTCCCATTAAGCCTGCGGTCTGTGGACCGAGTGTGTGGACTACTTTAAAAAGCTGCTAAAAAGCCATTTGTTCAGACAGGCCTTAAGGTAGCATGTGGCACCCTATGCTTTAATCTGACATCCTTAATCTATTTCCCCTTATACATTTTAATAACAATAAACTTTGCTCGCTTGCTAGTGTGCAGCGCAAGACCTTCTGTCATAGATTTAAAGTCTCAAAGTCCAGCCAGACATGACCCTGTTGACGTCAACACGGGTTACACTTTCATACTTCCAAACTTTCTAACCCGTATGCAAGATTATTGTTACCTGCGAATGGTTAAATTGCTACAGTAAAGCCGGGCTGTGTTGCTACAAGCTATCTTCTTTGCGTCGTTACCGTTTTCCTGACTGTTTGTACTAATGTAATCCGCTGTTGCACTAACTAATGCAATCAGGCCCTCGCTCTCCATGTCCGTGAGTCTTACCTGTAAAGTCGGTCATTTCCATTGCATTGAATTCATAGTGGCTCCACCACATTGTTAGAAAATCACACAGCGACTGTGAAAGTGCTTTACATTTTTAATTCATTTTCCAAGCAACAAAACGCAACCAACCGTAGACGCAGAAGTGAAAAGTCCATGACCCGAGCTTAATCGGAGAGAAAGAGGTTCATGAGGTGGAGTTAAAGTTGCTTGATTGAACAGCTACATGCAGGTACCTCCAATGACCCGTGAGAGCCTTATGGGAGGCCCTTTTAGTCCTAAACATCCTATAACCTGCCAGTACAAAGTCACAGGCAGAGCAGAGTGCTGAAGTATTGGTGGGAATGATGAGGTGTGGAGAGGCAGTGTGCTAAGATGAATTAATAATCAAACCCATTAGGTGGGACAGGGTTGAAAGGTACGCTCAATGATGCATTTCACTGTTGAGAGAGTGTATTCTAAGCGGCCATGAGACCTCAGTGACAGAAGTGCTTAGCCTAATAATCGGACCTGTTCCCTGAGTCAATGGGTGGGATATATACTTTGTCGGTGGCTGACAGCCCCGCTGCCTTCCCTGAATCTCAAGTTGTTCAGATAGTTAAGTCAAAGCAAAGATTAAGCAGAGGAGAGCTTTTTAAGGAGAAACTGGCAGACTGTCAAACCTGCTGAGGGAAGTTGGGTACCTCATACATCTCGCTGTAGAGCAGATTGCACTCGGTGGGGGATGCACCTGGCATGTTTAACCCCGCTGCCCAGGGCTCCTGTGAAATAAGAAGGGCACCGGTCCAAAACTCTGCTTTTTGGTGCTTATCTCCTTCCCTGCTGGCATGGAGGACATTTTCCTCATCGCCGCTACATCAGAACCGATAATGCGATGGATTTGTGTGGAGCTGTGCCAGGTTTCTCATCAGTTTTATGATGTCAATTTTTTAAAAAGAGTAGAGACCCTTAAGAACAGAAGGCACAAATTCAGATGTAGAATCGTGCCACTGTGTTGAGCATAATTGAACAGCAGCTGCTCAGTTTGAAGAAGTTATGATTGCTGATGGCTTTTGCTTCTTGAGGTTTTTATCAGTGGTTTTCAATCTTGTGGGTGGCCAGTTCCAAACACACTGTGCCAAATCCTGCGTACTGAGTTTAGCCTCTCATGTTTTTTATCTCAGTTGCCACACCTGGCTAAAATTGGTACCCACAGTGTTCATGAGTGCTTTAGGATAGCTCCTGCTACTGCTGCTATCTTTGCCGCCAGTTAGATCAATGTTTAATGCATTTTTTTTCTCTGCCTCAATTTTTATTTCCCCCTTTATGTCTCCGCCCAAGGAGCACCAGAGACAGCGACGCAGACGACGAAGACGACGAGCGCCGGGTGAGCCGAGGCTGCACGCTGCAGTACCAGCGGGCCCTGGTCAAGGTGCTGACCCAGTTCCACACCACCTCCACAGAGGGAACCGATCAAGTCATCACCATGCTGGGACCCGACTGGCAGGTGGACGTCACTGACCTGGTCCAGGACTCCCTGAAGGTGGCTGACCCCAGGATAGCGGAGTTGGTGGACAGGACTATCCTGGTGGGCCTGGAGCTGGGATCCACCACGCTGAAGGTAAATTCACCACCTTTTTACGTGTCAGTGCTGACAATTCACATAAATCAGGAGTGAAAAATGAAGTGTGTAGCAGATGACAAATGATGCGTCGGAGTGAGGAGCATGAAAGTAGGCACGGTGCTCTCCACAGCCACCACACACAAAGTGAGTTTTAGAGATGAGGGAGTAAGATTTCAAACTTAGAGCTCATTACTCTTTCTGAGTTTGCAGCAGCTGTTGGAGGCTGAAGGAAGCTGGTTCCTCTGAAGACTGTCAATGCATTACTTCAAGGGTAATGCCCATTTAGATTGTAGTTCTGGTCATCATTTCTATTTGTTATGATAACATCGCACTCATTAAAATATATATGCTGATGTTTAGGGAGACTGTGACAACACTACGGCAGCGTCCGACAGGGTGAGAAAACATGAGCAGCCAGGCAATCGGGCAGGCTGTAAACAAGCCAACAGTTTATCCAGATTATCTAAAGAGAGCACACCTGAAATGTCCGTAATAATCCCTCATTACTCAGAAGACAAGTCGATAAGACGTGATGAATGTTGCAGCACACGGTGTGGGTAGTAATTTTACCGTTTATCTCCATTTTCTTTTTCAGATAAGTTTAGCTAACTGGGGGGATTGTCTGATGGTTCGATTGTTTGTGGTCCTTGCGCCGTTTAATTTAGCAATTAACTCGGTTTTGTCTAATCTATGAACATTACACTGGAATTGTAATGAACAAGATTCATCCTTGAGGTTTACACAGTATTTTCACAATCATGCCTCGATTTTTATCCTCTTTCTTGTTCGTCTGCATCTATTCGACGGCAAAAAAACCTTGACTCTCTGTGAGTGGATACCAATGTTGATGTCCACTTCTCTCAAGCAAAAGAGCTCCCTGACATAAAGTGCACATAAATGCATCAGGCGAGACAGGGTCAGAAGTCCTTATAAAGGAAACTGCAAAAGTTATGACTCCTGCGCAGTGATTTACCGACGCTTCACATGGTCATTTATGAGGACGGAGGGAACTAACGGTTGGTGAGAGTTTTGATCACCGTGAAAGATCACAGTTTCAGCCTGTCGGGAGAAAGAATAGTCGCCTGATGGATGTGTCTGATGATGGAGAAATAGGGAGGAAAGATATAAGTCGCCAATCCATCATTTTAAATGAGCAATGGATCATCTGTAATCTGCTGAAGGGTATGAATAATTATACATCAATTTACCACCAGACGTAACTTGCCACATTGGCTCATAGCAATTGTGAATATGTAAATAAATAAATAAATGAATAGAAATGATTACATCCCTCAAACAACTTTAGAAAGATGGATTGATTTGGAACAACATGCTAGAGCCGGTCTGGAGATGGTAGATTACTCAAAACTAATGTGGTTGGATTGCTGTGATGTAGAAATAAATAAACGGGTCAGTTGGCCGCCACGCTCCCTTTTTACACGACGATCACCTTGTCAGACATCATTTGACTATTATCAGTATCAGAGGGAACAGACATTTGTCCTATGTGGTCGTTTACGTTGGAGGACTTGTTGCATCTAGCAGAGGTTGAGGTATTTCACTGGGTAAGTGAAAAAGCTGGTGCTCCTAGATGAAAAGTCAGAGGATCACTAAAGTTTTTATTATTCACCCTCTAAACATCACGAATGTCTGTACAAAATTTCATACGACCCATCCAGTTGTTGTTGAGATTTTTCCGTCTGGTGGTGGAACGACGGCCACGCTGCCACGCTGCCAACATGGCTGGTAAACTTAGAGGACAATCCACGTTGCGTCTTTTCTGCAGGTGTGACTGAATGATGAAAGTGCAGGGCAACTTTAAAAAATAACAAACAAACATTTCGTGTTAAAACGAAGGAAAAACAGAAATGAGATCTCTGAGGACTCACTTTTCGTTCACACACAGATGCCTGATGGCTCACGAAAGTCAAATTACAAAGGCGTTAAAAGATCCAGTTGAGAGCATATTTTACATTGAACGGAGATATTGTTATGCTGGTTTTCTGAAAATGAACAGTATATATCTCAACAATGGTCCTCTTACTGAAACGATCAGTCTGTTGGAGGATTTGAATTAGTCTTTGGGTTCGGGAGACTGATTCAAATTGTCCACCAGCTCATGAATATGAATGAAGAGAAGAAGCTTTTGTCCACTAAGTGCAATATCCCAGACATTCCATTTTCTTTGTTTTTGGAAGGAGGGTTGATGATTATTGCATGAATAAAAGTATTGCTATGTTAAATTAGACAGGTCTGCTTAATGGGAAGACTCAAAGGTGAAAATATGTGAGGTTTGGAGGTTAAACTATTACAAGAGAAGGTCTTAATTATGCCACAGAAAGAAATGTTTATACGCTGCGATTACGGGGCAGAATCATGACTTTCAAAGAATTCACCAAACCTGGTGGGAGTCGGACATTTAATCCGGAGGATTACTGAACAATAGCTGCTTCTCACAGTGAAAAGCCAGAGTTGGACAAAATTCACTGTTAGTCCTCGGATCAGAGATTATTTAATTAATATCTGCAAACGTGCAATCATCTTCCAAAGTCTAATCTATAGAATCTTTCCTCTCACAGGAAAATGAAAGTGCAGTGTTCACTCTTTGCCGCGTAAACACTGTGAAATGTATCTCAACAATGTGATCCCAGGTTCAATGTTAATTTTACTGTGTGATTTAAATGGAAGGAAGAAAAAAAAAAAGACAGGAGCTGGATGTTAGTGTAGTGAATGTGCAGCACGGCAAGTTCCTCCAACAACACAGGCCCATCTCAATTTTAAGATTCAGTAATCTATACCACAGTCAAGCTGCTCAAATATAATCTTTATGTATTTTTTGAAGTAGACATATGTAATCTATGAAACAGTATGAGTGAGGTGATAATAAATGCATTGAAATGTTCAGGTTCATTTGCACGAAATGATAAATTCAACATCCAACTCTTCCATGTATTGAAATATTCAGGTATATAGATGCTGCTCTCATGTTACATATGTATAGATCTAACATCAAAAAGCATGCCTGTTTTTTCTGTTAATACACTCAGGACGTGGCTCCTACAAGCATATATCTGAAAACACATACATGAACATATCATTTCATGCATCTGTGAACAAAGTCCCACATCGCAGCCTCTTTCCCAAGATGTCAAAAGCAGGAGAGCGGCGACTCATGGCCGCGGACATTTGTCACATTTCATCCCTCCTCTTTCTCTGCGTTCTTTGATCTGTCCAATTAAGTTAATAATGTCCCCCAACAAAGTCATTTTATTGGAGTGGCTATGAGGAGCACTGGGCCGACTGCTCTGTTGCAAGCTGTCGAGGGAACCCTTCACCTGGCGGGAAGTGCGGAGCTTTATTCTGCAGCTGCTGCACCCGCTCTGCTCCGCGACGTGGGAAGCTCTGTAATTGCCTGAAAGTTTACAGGACGGTAAAAGTTGAAAGCGAGGGTCACGTTTTCATTTTTCACTGCATTTCAAGAGGTATTACATTTGTATTTCATCAGTTCATCCTCTTGGAAGAGAAGCACTTTGTCTTTTGTGCAAACAAGCATAAAGAGGCACGATACATCTCAGTGCTCGTCAATGTTAATTACACTGATGGAAAGCATAATGAAAAATGCCCATCATTCGTACAAAACCAAGGCGAGAGCTTGTTGGACTCAAAGTGTAACCAGACGAAATTGATGTGTCACTTAATTTCACAAAAATGGATCAAGGTTCAATTTGCTAAAGCCCTCTCTTCTGAATGGTGAATGTGTTTTGTTGGGAGTTGTCTTTATTGAAGTCATACATGAGTACTGTCTGACCTTGTTATCTGTGCGTGCTACTTAATCCATTTTAGCAGACAACAAAGAGTTACACAACAACCAGGGACAAACTTCAAGGGGATTTTTCTTATATTTTGAACCTGTGAATGAGGTTTATCATAGTCTATAAAATGTATTTTATTTTATTCACTGCTCTAAATTTACTCTATGCCCTAATTTTAACTTCTAAACTGTAGAAAATATATCATTTTACATGATGCACAAAGAACTCATTTAACTATTTTTTATTTCTATATTTATTTCTATCCAAATTTTATTTTATTTTTTTCTTTCTTATTTATACACCAAGGGAGTTCCCAGCCGGATGAAGCTGTTTGTACATTTCTTAAAAACAAAGATAAGACTACACCATGTGTCTTCTCACTTTGGCAGTCCCAAGGGGCAGCAAGAAAAAAAACAAAAAAACAAAAAAACAGTTTGAATTCAAGAAAAGAAAAAGTACTTTCATTGTGCCGGGTTCATATAATGTCACATTCTGTTTGGTGAGATTTCCCACCAGTCTCCCAATCAGACACAGACATTATATTTGGGCGTACAGTGTAAATCTGCAGCGGCTGAATTAGTAGGAATGACATGGTTTAACTGCAGCTCAACTTCGTGATTTAGTGCCACTTTCATTTTTAACTTTTAAATTGCCTTCTGTAGATCCTCCTGCATTTCACCTGTGTTGAAATAGTGCAATGCAAAGGCATTAATGACCTCTTCTCAAGGTCTCTTCAGAATGGAGCTCACTCCAAACCGATATGTGTAATTTTCTGGGGAGGATGCTTCGTTGCCTGAAAGGTGCCTGGTTTTCCTCAGGTGTTTTTCTGCTACAGTAGAAAGTCTGAAATCTACAGCTTGCATGAATAAATCCTCCACTGATATTCTGTTGCACCATGCAAAAGTGTGATTTATTGAACACAAGGTTTGAGTAGAGAAGCGCGGAGTGTGGTAGGGAGAAAAATAATGTAGTGTGATGCAAGTAATATGCACTGGCATGAGTGAGCACTCAGCCACAGTTAGGGAAGAAACTCTGCCGGTCAGTGTCAATCTGCTGCTTGGACTCATCATTGATCCTCGGCTTCCAGTGAAGGCCACCAACACGACGGCATATATCCACAGCCGTACGCTCAGCGGTGACAGACAGAGCAGCTCCTAGCTGAAGAACATGTAAGGTGTAACTGCT